GCCTGTGACTGTTTGTGTGATGTCACGGGATGCGCATGTGTACGTTCGTACCTCTGCCTCCCTCTCAGTCGGCGTTAGACATCCAGGCTAGAACAAGACAAGGCTGGGCTCCATTTCCCATCATCACAGTCTGACAATATATCGTTACCATCCAACAAGTGTGTCTACCTTCAACCCTCGATATCTCCATTTAAGAACCCCTACAATAACTGGACCCCTGTCGCACAAAATATCTGTCCAGAGAGGTTTTTTCTGGCATTTCTTTAAGATTTCCCTGAAGTGGGACACAACACTGTCTTTGTACATGTTGCAGATATGGCTTGTTTCAGCTTGGTCAGGGTGATACTTTTCAACAAAACTTTACAACTCATTCCACATTCCACACATGTCCTTAATCACTGAAGAAGGCACCTCATCCACTCCCTCTTCCTCCTCCTCTGAAGCAAGTTCCTTGGCTGTGGTCTGATGCTGTTCTAGTTGAAGCTCTTGCAGTTTGTCAGTGGTTAGCTCTTCCCTGTGGTCCTCCACCAATTCTTCCACATCCCTGTCACTCACTTTATTTACCAAAGGGCTTGCACTAGCTTTCCTTGGGTCCATGATGACTTATTTAGCAGTTGCAAGCACAAAAAACAATGGACTATTATGAAATATATTGTATGAACCCGCAGGTGATGGTCACGTGTTGGTAAACAATGGCACACTGAGCGTGAATGGTGTGGGAGAGTGGCTTGGTGTGCGTGGTGATTGGCGGACGGGTACCGGACGGTCGCCGAAACACGAGTCTTTTCACGAAACTCGAGGCCAAATTTTTCCAAAAAAACTCGCCGAAGGTCAAATTTCACAAAAGTCGAGGTTGCCAAAACTTGGGGGTCCACTGTATAGGTGTATCAAAAGAGGTGATGAGCAGTTAAGAAATCAATATATTCAATTAAAGGGAGAAATAAAAAAAAGGAATAGGAAAAGCAAAAGGGGATTATGAGGCTAAGGTTGCAAGGGATTCGAAGAGTAACCCAAAAGGGTTCTTTCAGGCATACAGAAGTAAGATTAGGGACAAGATAGGCCCACTTTAGAGTAACTCAGGTCAGGTCACTGACAGTGATAAGGATGTGTGTTAAATTTTCATTACTTACTTCCCCTCAGTTTTTACCCAGCAAGATGCTAGCAAAATTCCAGAAATAATAAATTATGTAGAACAGGACGATAATAAACTATGCACAACTGGAGTAACTACTGGCATGGTTCTCAGACAAATAGAGAAGTTAACACCTGACAAATCCACACGTCCTTATGAATTGTTTGCAAGGGTGTTAAAGGAATGTAAAGAGGAACTTTGCAAACCTTTCGCTAATCTTTTCAACATATCACTATACAAACTGGAATAGTGCTTGATAATTGGAAAATGGCAAATGTAATACCTATTTACAAGGCAGGTGACAGGTCCTTGGCTTCGAACTATAGACCAATAAGCCTTACCTCCATAGTGGGAAAATTTATGGAACCAATAATTGCTGAAACAGTTCTTAGCCATCTTGAAAGGCATAAATTGATTAATGAATCTCAACACGGTTTTACAAAGGGGCGTTCCTGTCTTACGAAATTACTTTTTTCACTAAGGTGATTGAGGAGGTAGATCATGGTAATGAATATGATATTGTGTATATGGACTTCAGTTATGCTTTCGATAGAGCTACACATCAGAGGCTATTAAGGAAACTTAGGCACATGGAACAGGAGGAGAAATTTTTTCCTGGGTAGAAGCATGGTTGACAAATAGGCAGCAGAGAGTTTGCATAAATGGAAAGAAATCAGTATGGGGCACGTCACAAGCGGTGTTCCGCTGGGGTAAGTGTTGGGCCCGTTGTTGTTCACAATTTACATAAATGACGAAGATGAGGGAATAAATACCGACATAATGAGGACATTAGAGCACTCCAGGATGATTTGAATAGATTGATGCAGTGGTCAGGGAAGTGGCAGATGCAGTTTATTATAGACAAATGCAAAGTGCTAAATGTTGGACAAGAAAATAACAATACCTCCAGGTAAACTCCAGGTACCACATATAAACTAAATAATGTAGATCTTAATACTACTGACTGGGAAAATAATTTAGGAGTTCTGGTTAGCAGTAATCTAAAACCAAGACTACAGTGCATTAGTGTTCGCAATAAAGCTAACAGAAGTATAAATAATAGGAGTCCTCAGGTCGTTCTTCAACTCTATATAGCCTTGGTTAGGCCTCATTTAGACTATGCTGCTCAGTTCTGGTCACCGTATTACAGAATGGATATAAATGCACAGGAAAAAGTAGAGAGGAGGATGACAAAGTTGATCTCATGAGTCAGAAATCTTCCCTATGAGGATAGACTGAGGGCCTTGAATCTGCACTCTCTCGAAAGGCATAGAATTAGGGGGGAAATGATCGAGGTGTAAAAATGGAAAACAGGAATTAATAAAGGGATGTAAATAGTGTGCTGAAAATTTCCCGTCAAGACAGGACTCACAGCAATGGTTTCAAGTTGGAAAAATTCAGGTTCAGGAAGAATATAGGAAAGCACTAGTTTAGTAATAGAGTTGTGGATGAGTGGAACAAACTCCCGAGTACAGTTATAGAAGCGAAAACGTTGTGTAGTTTTAAAAATAGGTTAGATAAATACATGAGTGGGTGTGAGTGGGTGTGAGTTGGACCTGACTAGCTTGTGCTACTAGGTCTGATGCCATTCTCCTTCCATAAGTGGAAGTGACCTGATTAGTGGGTCATTGGTCTAAGCCTTGGGGGTGACATGGACCTGCTTTACATGGGTCGGTAGGCCTGCTGCAGTGTTCTTTCTCATGATCTTATGTATTTCGGTTCCATACATGTTCAATCACAGTTTTTTTCATGTTACCGAATGCTCTGTCCCTAAGCTTACTGTTACTATCATAAAAATTAATATTATATGATAACCTGGCATATATTTAAAAAGATATGAATAAAAGTCAGTATTTAAACCATCAAGAGGTACTTTCCTCAAGTGTATCATCACAATAATATCTCAGCTATAATGAAAACAATAGTCTAACTTCCTAACAAAATAATCCCACTCAGTGTCTGTACAAAAGAAGAGTTTAAGTAATATAAAAAGTAGCAAACTCCAAAAACCTATAAATATGATTGTAGCATGCAAAGAGCTTGTTACAATATATTGGGCGTATGTGCGCACTCCCGAGTACTATGCTGCTTCCCAACCAGCGAACCAGGCGCTAAGGGTTTAACGATAAGGGTACCCTTCGTTAAGCCAGTACCTTGGTTCATTGACCAATCATAGGCAAGCCCGCCAAATGCTGAGGTGAATTGGTTCACTGGCAGTCAGCATTTACCAGACTTGTCTCTAGCTGGTTCAAGCATGGTGTTCTATCTCCGACTTCTTTCTCTGCCCTTTATCATAGTGTGGTACACTTACATTTAACTCCTGTATATAGTGTACATAAGTGTACATGATTATACATTCATATTTATATGTGGTGAAGAAAATACAAGTAAAGTATTACTGCTGAGTTTGTTTGCTCCAACCCATTACGACCAGGTCACAGGCCATTACGACCAGGTCACAGGCCATTACGACCAGGTCACAGGCCATTACGACCAGGTCACAGGCCATTACGACCAGGTCACAGGCCATTACGACCAGGTCACAGGCCATTACGACCAGGTCACAGGCCATTACGACCAGGTCACAGGCCATTACGACCAAGTCACAGGCCATTACGACCAGGTCACAGGCCATTACGACCAGGTCACAGGCCATTACGACCAGGTCACAGGCCATTACGACCAGGTCACAGGCCATTACGACCAAGTCACAGGCCATTACGACCAAGTCACAGGCCATTACGACCAAGTCACAGGCCATTACGACCAAGTCACAGGCCATTACAACCAGGTCACAGGCCATTATGACCAGGTCACAGGCCATTACGACCAGGTCACAGCATTGCCATCAAGTTACGACCAGGTCACAGGCCATTACGACCAGGTCACAGGCCATTACGACCAAGTCACAGGCCATTACGACCAAGTCACAGGCCATTACGACCAAGTCACAGGCCATTACGACCAAGTCACAGGCCATTACGACCAGGTCACAGGCCATTACGACCAGGTCACAGGCCATTACGACCAGTCACAGGCCATTACGACCAGGTCACAGGCCATTACGACCAGGTCACAGGCCATTACGACCAGGTCACAGGCCATTACGACCAGGTCACAGGCCATTACGACCAGGTCACAGGCCATTACGACCAAGTCACAGGCCATTACGACCAGGTCACAGGCCATTACTGACAGGTCACGATACGAATGGTAAGAGAATTAAATAGGCCATAATGACCAATACTTGCATAAAAAAACAAGTCACAGGCATTACGACCAGTAAGGCATAACACCAGTCACAATTAAACAGTCGGATTCCATATAACCAGGATACAAAATTATACAGCCCAGCCATTAGACAACACAGAGCCTTACGACAGTTCGGCCATACGGACCATTCAGGCCATTCGTCACAGGCCATTACGACCAAGTCCAGCCATTTCGACCAAGTCTCAGGCCTTTACGGACCGGTCGGTTACGTCCAGTCACGGATTACGACCGTTCGTTCATTACACAATCAAAGCCATTCGACCAGTCTTACAGGCAAATTCCCGACCTAAACAGTGCCATTACGACAGGTTGTCAGCCATTACCAGTTCACAGGCTAACACAAACACGCCAATTAGACCAAGTCAAGACCGGTATCAAGTCACTTCCATTTTACCAGTGTTCGTAAGTCAGCAGAAGGAATATTAAAAATGAAAATTAAAATTGATAAAAAACAAAACAAGAAGACCATTATGCGACACGACACATTAACCATGTCAAACTTCATATAAAATACAAAAAAGCGCACAATAAAATCAGAGGCTTACGACACGTTTCGGTCCGACTCGACCATTTTGATTTGTCAATGGTCCCAAGTCGGACCGAAACGTCGTCGTAAGCTTCTCTCTTTTATGTGCGGGTTGTGTGTCATTCCAGTCACGGTATTGTGCCTTTTTTGTTATTCATAATAAAATACTGTGCATAGTTCTTACAGGTAAAAATCCCACCATAAACAGTGAATTTGCAAGAATTTTGTTCTGTCAGTCATTTACTATGTCAAGGCTAACTAAAACTCTACTAATTAATAGGATAAGATTCAATGACCTGGTTCAAGTCACTTCCATTATTTACCAGTGTAATGTAGTCCAGCATGAAGGTTATTTAACACATTTGAAGAATTAAAATATGATTAATGAACAAAACATACCCTGTTGCAGACAAGAAAAAATACCTTGCCATTACTTAATATAAAACTGCAGTATATAAAGAGGGGCAAATAATTAGTTAGTGTGGTCTGATTCCTGATTATAACTTGGATGACAATAGTGTGTCAGGTCCCAGACGTCTGGTAAAAATTTTGAATAGCTTGTAGTTCATGCGGGACAAATCGTAGATGCCGTCCCCTAGGGTGTTTGCATTTACTGTTCTGAGATTCTTGCACCCCAGATGAAGACATATTCTCTCACTGAAGGAGCTGCTGGCTTCTGCACAGACCAATGTGAAACCCTTCTTGGTGCCAAGATCCAGACACAGCTGAAAGAGGTACATAAAAAACTGAACACAGTGACACAGGAAGTAATTTCACGAATATCGAGCACAATGGAAGAATTTTGATTATTTTTGTCTAAACTAATATCTAAGATTACATTGTTTAGCATTTACCATCTGCGTCCATTATCTACCAGATAATGCCACAAGAGATGGCGGTTTAACACTAACCTTTACAATGTTAATAGCAACACCTTGATGGCTATAGTCAGGATGGACACAAATGCGTGAACAGTAGAGGATGCGATCCTTCCTTGTGTCCAAGACCTCGTCAGTGATGTTTCGAAATATAGACTTTAATCGAAGAAGTTTATCCTGAGAAGTAAACAACTCACAATTAATGCAAAAAAATAAGCCCGTGTAACCGGTCAATTAACAAACATTATAGATTTTCTTAACAATTACAACAGTTTTTACACATGAATGTGTCAATTAAAATTTCTGTAAAATACTGTTCCTTTATATAGCACGTGTCACTTGGGCAGACCATTTGTATAGCACGGTCTGTCAGACCATTTGTATAGCACGGTCTGTCAGACCATTTGTATAGCACGGTCTGTCAGACCATTTGTATAGCACGGTCTGTCAGACCATTTGAAAGTTGAATATTTGATTATAGTTGAGATATATTAATGTATTAATTGCTTAAAGCCATGAATTTGCAGAGCTTAAAGTTGTCGCTGTGTGTTAGGTCAGTCAGAAGCCCAGACAGTAATAAAGACAAAACCATCCAGGATGCTGCCCAGACAGTAATAAAGACAAAACCATCCAGGATGCTGCCCATTACACATTGCTCAAAGTTAGATTCCTATTTACTGGTAGGTAAATGTGATTAAAACTTGTAAAGGAACTTGTTTGGTGTTCCTGCTCCCTCCACATAGTGGACGGGGACTTTGATTTTGAATCTAAATGTTCTACCACTGACCTTACAGTCTATTTCAAATGTAATGTTGTTATGAATTAGTACAAAAAGCTGCTCATATCTCGGTAAATAAACAATAAATAGAATAATGAGAAAAACGTAATAATACGAGATTTTAGCAAATTGGCTTCACTAAACTGTTAATTTTTAGAGTTTAAATATTTATAGCCTCATTATTATTAATATTATGAATTTCATTATTATTAGATTATGAATTATTATTGCATTCGCTGAAGGTGACAAACCCGTGTGGATAATACAAAGCTGAAAGACAAAAAAAAAAACTTTTGGCAAAGGGAAGTAGAATGAAAAATAATTTTGAGAATTTCTACGTTGACGTTAGAAGTGAAGCACAACATAAGAAGTGAAGCACAACATTAGAAGTGAAGCACAACATAAGTGAAGCACAACATATGAAGTGAGGCACAACATATGAAGTGAAGCACAACATATGAAGTGAAGCACAACATATGAAGTGAAGCACAACATAAGTGAAGCACAACATATGAAGTGAGGCACAACATATGAAGTGAAGCACAACATATGAAGTGAAGCACAACATATGAAGTGAAGCACAACATATGAAGTGAAGCACAACATATGAAGTGAAGCACAACATATGAAGTGAAGCACAACATATGAAGTGAGGCACAACATATGAAGTGAGGCACAACATATGAAGTGAGGCACAACATAAGAAGTGAGGCACAACATATGAAGTGAAGCACAACATATGAAGTGAAGCACAACATAAGTGAAGCACAACATATGAAGTGAGGCACAACATATGAAGTGAGGCACAACATATGAAGTGAAGCACAACATATGAAGTGAGGCACAACATATGAAGTGAAGCACAACATATGAAGTGAGGCACAACATAAGTGAAGCACAACATATGAAGTGAAGCACAACATATGAAGTGAGGCACAACATAAGTGAAGCACAACATAAGTGAAGCACAACATATGAAGTGAAGCACAACATATGAAGTGAGGCACAACATAAGTGAAGCACAACATAAGAAGTGAGGCACAACATAAGAAGTGAGGCGCAACATATGAAGTGAGGCACAACATAAGAAGTGAGGCGCAACATATGAAGTGAGGCACAACATAAGAAGTGAGGCGCAACATATGAAGTGAGGCACAACATATGAAGTGAGGCACAACATATGAAGTGAGGCACAACATATGAAGTGAGGCACAACATATGAAGTGAGGCACAACATATGAAGTGAGGCACAACATAAGAAGTGAGGCACAACATAAGAAGTGAGGCACAACATAAGAAGTGAGGCACAACATAAGAAGTGAAACACAACATAAGAAGTGAAGCACAACATATGAGGTGAGGCACAACATATGAGGTGAAGCACAACATAAGAAGTGAAGCACAACATAAGAAGTGAAGCACAACATAAGAAGTGAAGCACAACATAAGAAGTGAAGCACAACATAAGAAGTGAAGCGCAACATATGAAGTGAAGCACAACATAAGAAGTGAGGCACAACATAAGAAGTGAGGCACAACATAAGAAGTGAGGCACAACATAAGAAGTGAAGCACAACATAAGAAGTGAAGCACAACATAAGAAGTGAAGCACAACATAAGAAGTGAAGCACAACATAAGAAGTGAGGCACAACATATGAAGTGAAGCACAACATAAGAAGTGAAGCACAACATATGAAGTGAAGCACAACATATGAAGTGAAGCACAACATAAGAAGTGAAGCACAACATAAGAAGTGAAGCACAACATATGAAGTGAAGCACAACATATGAAGTGAGGCACAACATATGAGGTGAGGCACAACATATGAGGTGAGGCACAACATATGAGGTGAGGCACAACATATGAGGTGAGGCACAACATATGAGGTGAGGCACTGTTACGTTTTGAGTTTCTTTTCAGAGAGGAGACCCGTTAGTAACAACAGGTGAAGATCCACTTAGGTCTTCTTACTCTTTTCAAATAAACACATATAAATATAAGACAAAAAAGTTCTATAATGCTTTATCTGGTTTTATTCAGTATAATACTAAGCTTATAGAGTCACTTAGTAATTTAAATAATTGATAAAATTTAGGTATACCTTTTCTTATAAATTCATATGTACACAATCACTGTAGTTTTATAATCAAAGGTAGCAACGGCTACCAGCAGTGAGGTGCAGCCCAGCACCTGCTACAAGTGGCGAGTGGTTCACAGTAATGGAAGGAGCATCAGAGTAAGGAAAGTTAAGAGTGAAGATCTGAAGGTAGGAAATTGCTTCTCTGTTCTTCAGGATGAATGTACTTCAGTGACCAGTGAAGGTAAGGGTACTACTGCCCCTGCTAATGGAGGTAAGCACATTCTTGTGGTTGGTGACTCTCAGGTAAGATATATTGACCGTGCTTTTTGTAATAGGAATAAGAAGATGAGAGAGAGTGTGCTTCACTGGAGCTGGTGTTGGGGACATAGTCAACAGGCTGGATAATATCATGTCAGGTAATGGGAACAAGCCCATTATCTGTCTCAGTGCTGGTGGGAAATGATATTGGGAAGGGTAGGAGAGAAGAGCTGCTAGATAAGTACAGGTCAGCTATAGATTTCATTAAGTCTAAGGGAGGGATCCCAATCATATGTAGCATCTTGCCTAGAAGGGGAGTAGGAAATGAATGGTTGTCTAGGGCAATTAGTGTAAATTGCTGGCTAGACAGATACTGCAAGGAACTTGCAATCCCATTCATTGACAACTGGAACAACTTTTATGGCAAACATGATATGTATGCAAGGGATGGGGTACATCTCTCTGGGGCAGGGTGGTAGCACTTGCAGACTCGATTGAGAAGGCCATTGGTGAAATGCCTATGATTTTAAACTGATGGAAGATAGAGGTATGGGTGTGTGTGGGAAACAAGCAGGTTGCAACACTTGGTTGGAAACAGTAAATGTATAAAAGGCATTCAGCATGAAGTTAATAAATAAAGACAATAGATCAGGTCAGCAAACAAAGGGGGACAGCAGAGGGCAGCAAGGGACTAGCTCCCTTAAGGTTTACTATACTAATAGCAGGAGTGTAAGAAATAAGATAGATGAGCTAAGATTAATTGCAAGTGCAGGGAACATAGATATTATTGCTATAACAGAGACCTGGCTCAATTGAAAGATAGAGAGATGCCCTCTGAATGTCACATACAAGGCTATAAATTATTCCACACTGACAGGGTCAACAGGAAAGGTGGTGGAGTAGCGATGTATGTCAGAGACAATTTAAATTGTTGTGTTAGACAAGATATTAAATTAGAAGCGTCAGCCACTGAATCTGTTTGGTTACAGCTTCTCGAGGGCCGAGAAAAACTAATTTTGGGTGTGATTTACAGGGCCCCAAATCTTGATAGGGAGTGCAGTAAACTTCTATGGACGAAATTCGTAAGGCATCTACATACGAAAATGTTGTGCTAATGGGAGATTTCAACTATAGACAGATTGACTGGAGCAATTTGACAGGAAATTTAGAGTCAGGTGACTTTCTTGATACGATCTAGGATTGTTTTTTAAAACAGTTTGTGACAGAGCCAACTAGGGGAAATAACCTCCTTGACTTGTTCTTGCCAGTAGGGAAACACTAATTAATAATCTTGAGGTTAATGATGAGCTTGGGGAAAGTGATCACAAATCACTCAGTTTTAATATATCATGGAATTCCCTATAATGGCAATCAAGTCTCCGTCCCTGACTTTCGCTTGGCTGATTTCATAGGACTGAAAAAATTACTTAGGTGGGCTGAACTGGAATGACCTGACTAAGGGTCAGGTAGGTGGTGATGGTTGCCGATATGATGCTTTCCAAGGCATAGTTCTAGCTGCTCAGTCAAATTATGTTCCTAATAGGGAAATCAGATCAAACAAAAATGATCCTAAATGGATGAACAATAGATTAAAATATCTGATTGGTAAAAAAGAAGGCATATATAGGCAAATCAAAAGAGGAGAGGGGCAATTGAGAAATCGTTATATTCAGTTAAAGAGAAATAAAAAAGGGAATTAGAAAAGCAAAAAGAGATTATGAGGTTAAAGTTGCAAGAGAATCGAAGACTAACCCAAAAGGATTCTTTCAGGTATACAGAAGTAAGATCAGGGACAAGATAGGCCCACTCAAAAGTTCCTCGGGTCAGCTCACTGACAGTGATAAGGAAATGTGTAGAATTTTTAACACATACTTCCTCTCAGTTTTTACACAGGAGGATACCAGCGATATTCCAGTAATGATAAATTATGTAGAACAGGACGATAATAAACTGTGCACTATTAGGGTCACAAGTGACATGGTCCTTAGGCAAATAGATAAATTAAAACCTAAAAATGCCCAGGCCCTGATGAACTGTATGCAAGGGTTCTAAAGGAATG